AACCCTTTGTACGAACAAAAGTAAGAGAAATTTAGGATAAGAATATGAACATGTTCTTGCATGAGGCCCAATGAGTATAAAAATTCATTCTGCCAGTATGTTTCTACCTCTTCTGGAAAGGTCCAAGTTTTTATTATAAAGGGCCAATCCTCCTCCCCCTGTAATTTGTTACAGCTTTGTGTCAACACTTCAGTGTAACAATGAATGTGAGAACACCCGCTTCATTTATTGCACGGCTCTGCAGATGGGTGATGGTGGGAGATAAACGGGGGCAGGGCAGAAAGAATTGGGCTGGAGGCGTGCTCTAAAAATAATATAGTACGAGAAGTGTGTGTGTGTGTGTGTGTGGGGGGGGGGGTCGGGAAAAAGAGAAGAAGGAGGTAACCATGGGGGTGTTTGTGAGCAAGAGACTAAAGAGGCTGAACTGAGTAAGACATGATAGAATTAACAATGTCAGGAACAAACGTAGAAGTAGTGAGAAATGAAGATGAAACAAATTAATACATCTCTGTACGTGTTTGATGAGACCAGTTCTGTGCAGCAGAGGAAACCACAAAGCAAATACTTGATCACTGCCTACTCCTGCACCGTGCGCCTAGCCTGGCCCTTGCCTTCCTTTTTAGCTCCGCTCAATTCTAGTTTCCTTCACTGCTCCGTCTGGGACTTCTCCCATWGACAAGGATTTCGCTGGCAGTCGATGTCCTGCACAGTGTCTGCTTGTAGTTTATTTTACCTGGACCAATCAGCAAACAGGAGGAGTTTTGAACGATGTCGATGTTCTGCACAGTATCTGCTAGTTATTTTAGCATTCTGCAGTGGAGGAAGTGAATGAAGCCAGTCTGTGTTGATAAGGCTTCCAAATTAAAATAAATTTGTCTGACAAAGCAGCAGCTCTCATTTACAGTCGTCTCGTTCGGCTCGGTATATTTCTCCTCTCAGTAGAGTTGTTTACAGAACACACGATTTCCAGTTAGCTTCTTAGCTTAGCCTCCTTCACAGCGACAGCACAGACATGCTTCAGCAGAGGCCACGCCTCCTGCAAGAAACACTTCTCTATGCATCAAGTCCAGACCCTCTGTACGAAGCAAAGTGAAGGACAGGGTCTGGTTTTTACCAGGCTACCATGCGCCCAACCTCCTGGTGATTTTGTTTCTAAAACTTAAGTTTGTTTTAGTTACTTTAATTTATTATTTAATGTAGTTGGCAGCACGATGGATCAGTGGTTAGCACTGATGCCTCACAGCAATAA